TAGTCTATGGCAAATACCTAACTCCAGTCTTGTAACAGGAGTGACTCAAACTGACGGATGATGAAACATTTAAACATAAGACTTTAAGAAGCTATTGCCTCTGTCCCGTTCTTGAACAGACTGAAACCCTTTTCAGCTATTCTTCTGGGAGCGCCACAGTACATGTCTCTCATTCAGACGTATCTGGTTTCCCAGACAATGAACTTTCTTGTGTTTGTTCCTGCCTTTGCCCTATTAATTTTGCAGTAAGGTTTGATTACTCTGCATAGTTTAAATCATGCTTCCAATGTCAGTCCTGATTTGTTTATTCCAACTCGTTTCCTTTGATCAGGGAGTATATTTTAATTAAAGCAGGCTAAATTAATATACAAGGAGATTAAACGCTAAGGAAAGTGCTTTTTATCCTGACTAACTCCATTGGACAGTCAGCAGGTGCAGAAAAAGTCTGCTGTGAAACAGCCCTGCTTGATAAGAAAATCTGCAGGACGAAATAGTTCCTTTTGTCATTGAAACTAGTCTGCAGAAGATCACTGCAGCTTTTAGGCAACCACAAATAACCCTGTGGGGACCTCTTGCAAATCCCACCCAGCATTTTTCCAGTGATCACTCCTTGCACACAGCAGCATGTGCTGTGATCGTATCTCTGAGATGTCACCCTTTCAGGACTCTCTGTTATGAGGAGCTCCCAGATTGCCTTCTCCTCTTGCTCCCTAAACAGCTGCTCTTCCATGTAAAGAAATCCTAGACATTTTATCACTTGCTCCAATGCAGTTGCCATCTTATCTGAAGCTTGATAACCAGAACATGAACCTCATAATCAGAGGTCTTCCTGATAAGCCCTCGCGCCACCAGTGCCCATTCTCCCCCTTGCAGAAAGGCTCTCAGCACCTCTGAAAAAAAGCCTTATACACAGTGAGGGAACCCTCAGGAGTTCAGACTGGAAAGGAGAGGGAAGTATGAGGAGGGCAGAAGAGAAGAAAGAGATGGTGGGTTCTCAGAGAGAGTCAGGACCCCACGACACTTTACCTGCCTCTGCTGTGTGCGCCTCCTTCCCCACACTCGCAGCGCAATGAGCTGGGCAGCTCCAGCCAGGGACCCCGGAGCAGGGGCAGGGACTGGGGCCAGCACCGCCTCGCAGGCTCAGGTGTCTGCCCAGCAGCATCCAGCCTTCAGCCAGAGGGGAGGGGAAAAGTCTCCCCTGCTGGGGGGTCAGAGGGTGAGGGACTCCCATAGCAGGCAGAGAAGGATACTTCCCCTCCCGAGATGAAGGGAGCTCAGTGAGCTGTGTGGGGGCAACAAACAGGGCCAGGCTGGCGCTGCCCAGCACCCTGCTCCCCCCATCTCCCTACCTTGAGCACGGGCAGGTGGCCTTGGGCTCCTCGGAGCAGAACAGAACCGACTACCTGGGATCACCCAGCAAAACGGGGCTGTGGTTTCTGTGAAACGAAGCTGTTCCAACTTTGCATTGAACATTTCCGACTAAATCCATGCTCTTGCACAGCATCTTCATCCTGCGATGCAAACACATCCAGTGCCACCCTGACAGAACAGATAGTTTAGTTACTCTCCAGAGCAAAACACTGCACGCTGGTGAGACCGCCAAGGTGCGACTTGCACAGTGTCACCCACAGCAGGGTAGGGACAGCGGAGGGATGAGGCAGGTGCCCCAGGCCCAGGAGTAATGAATTTAGACATCAGACTTGCAATAAACACTTGTCCCCTTGGATGACATCGTTTCAGGCCATTTAATCGCTACTGGATCTGAGTTTCTTAGCACAGGATGAGTCAACAGACATTAACTGCACACAAATGCACTCACAAGGTCTGGAAAGAGAAACCTGACACAATAAGCCACGCTGTGCCCCTTCCTTCGTGAGGAACTCTGATTTTAGAGGTACAGGTGTAGGCACAATCCCTCGGGGCTACTCTGTACGTGCAACAGGACTAAGCAGGTTTGTGACCCTATTGAACATGGTCCCTTAGAATTTAAGCTTATTCTGTTCATAGCTTTTCCCTGAAAACTCACATTTTAATAAGTGTTTTAATTGCCCATCTCTACTGCAAGAATACTTGTTTAAATAGTGGAAACAAAATAGTAAATCATAAGACAAAAACCCAACTATTGTACACATTGCACCTTCTGTCCTAAAACCTCTCAGAGCTACTACAAACCAAAGTCCTAAGTGACAGAACTAAAAGATACAAGATGTGAAATGCATAGTCCCTTGTGTGATTTTTAACCTGTGGGATTAAAACTTAAGTACCTTTGAAAAAGTTTGTCTAAATACATATTTGCTACACAAGGCTAAATTCATTACACATCAAGAAACACATTTTCCCACTACCAGATGAGTACAAATGAAGGTAACAAAACAAAAATGAATGGATTCACTCCAAAGCACACATAGCTCATTTTTCCAACAGGCAAATCTCATTGTACTCTGTGCCAAAACTCAACAGCACATACCAAAACAATACTGTCTGAATTACTGTTGAAAAAAAACCCCACCAGTCAAACCCCTTGCCCCACACTACAGAATACTTACTGTTTCACAAAGATGACTGAGAATAAAAGGCTACCAAATTAGTAATAGAAATCACTAACCATCAGGCAAAGGAGTCCAAGGTAAATCTAAAAACACATGCTGAAACATCCTACCTGGCGTAAGATCACCAATGATTAAAAAAAAAACAACAAACAATAAAAAACACAAGCACAACTGTTTTAGACTTCAAAAGCAAAAGATAGGTCAGCTCTTACTTTACTTACCAGCTGATACACAAGCTGAGGTTTCTCTGCTCTCTCACACTTACATCCCAAGCAACGTACGACACAGGCCTGCCAGTTCTGTACTACTTATGATGCCACTTGTTGTTTTAAAGGAAGGTTATATCCCAACTGCCAGAAATTATCCATTTTAAACAGTTTTTAAAACAAGGCATGTTAAAATAAATAACATTTATTTACTGTTCCTGAAGAAAAGAAAACGTCCCAAGCTAGCAAAACTTTTAAAATCAGGTCCCTATAGCCTGATCCTCAGTTTGACTCGAAGAATTTGCAAGAAACTGCCTGCAAGTTTTTTAAGCTGAAAACTTTTGGGAACAACTTGCTTAGAAAGTTTATTATTAAACCCATCAGTTTAAAGTCCAGTTTTGGCAAGTTCTACCATAATCTCTTTAGCTGGAAAATGGCATATGCAAAAGCAATGAGGATTTATGAAGCTTTGAGAAGAACATAAAGGAAACCCAACCAAAAGTGACACATTTATTGTGGACTGCCATCCCTTTAAACAATACTTCAATGCTGTTTAAATAAACGCAAGGTTGTGCTGCTACTGAGAGCTTGATTTTCAACACAAAGACCAGCTGCTGCAGACAAGCATGGCTATGGTTACAAAAATGAACACAAAAGTTAATGCAAAAAGTCATCTCAAAAAAAGTTTATTAGCATGATTAAAAACATGTGAAGAATGACAGTAAGAGAGAAAGTAATTTAGCATGGAAGAATATCCATTTCAATAGTTTAAACTCAACAAGGCTTGAACTGAATGGGTAACTTTATTGCCAGATTTCACTTGATTTCTTTAACAACAGTTCACATTGTATCAGTTTCATCATTATTAGGACTATTGCTTTTGTCTGGATCTGATCCCTGTTGCAAGTAAGTATAAAAAAATATCCGCCATTACTGCTGGGTTGCAGAACGCGTTGTTGGTTTAAGAGCTGGTAAAAAAAGCAATTATCAACTGAAGAGTCTTTAAAAAAAACAACTTTTTTTTTTCCTAATCGCACTACAAAGAAATACATTAGTATTTTGGCCTTTAAATTTCTTACATGGTGTTTATTTAGCATGGCAATCCCCGAATTCCCTCCCTTTAAGTAACCATAAATCAAACCCCTCTTTCAAAGGCTGCTTCTTGGGTTAGATTCTGGAGGTTTACTTCATACATGCTTACACTGGCTTGAGGACGAAGACAGCATCATCTAGGACATAGTAGTCATTATACATATCACCTTCGCATAGGTATGGCAGTCTGGTGAAAGCCTCTATGGCAAAACCAGCTTTCCTGAAAACTTCTGGCAGGCTATTCACCTGTTCTTCCCAAGTGTGCCCTTTGATTTCCAAAACTTCTGAGGGCTTTTCCCACTTGCCACCTACTGAAAAAACAAAACAAATTTTGTTCAAATTATAAAGAAAACTTTCTTGTGTGTTGTATTTTCTTACAGAAAGCATGTTACACAGATTATATTCCATTCCACTCCAAATAGGAGGTTGACAAGCCATTTGTAGAGCTGTTGCAAGATCAGTTCGAGTTTTTGCCTCTCGTTCAGAAGCAGCTCCTTCTCAAGGTTATCTTTTGCTACATTTTTAACTAGCAGTTCCAAGACTTGCTGAAAAGGAACTTCTATTAGTGAGGCTGGTGTTCAGCAGACATGGACAGACAGACTATTTAATGATGATCTTTTCCAGCATTATAAAATTCTTTCTTATGCGCACTGTCTAGCCAAAGATGGCTTCAGGTAATTTCAGTAAAGAGAGCCAACAAGTTGAAAATTCTGATTTGCTGTGAAGCTTCTATCAGTAGGCCACCACATTATAATGGATGGCTACAGCATCTTTACTCCTCCAGCGGCTGCCTGCTAGCTGACACAGTGAAGACTACTTAGGGTCACATAAAATTAAGAATCTGAACACTTGTAGCATGCTGGAAAACATGTTGCTATTTGTTACATCCAATGAAATAATCTGAAGGATTATAGGCACAACTCTCAGAAACTCAAAGTTTAAAACTCTTCGCTCATTTTCCAAGTAATGTCATCCACAAGTAACAAATGTTTTCTGGTTTGCTCTGTACCTTTAACCAGTTTGCTAAATGCAATAGTAAACAACCTTCTAAACCGGAAGTTCTAAATCTTGTGATTCAGAGTGTTCTGCAACTCCAAAAATTTCCTAAGTTCCTCTTCCTTCAAGCAGAATCATTTCCAGAGAGAAACAAGAAATGGCATCTTTCAACAAACTGAAAAACATGCTAATGCTGGCATTTGACTGGATTCTGTACAGTGCTGGTAAGACTTTTTTTAAGTTTCTTGCATTTTCCCATGTAACAGCAGTTAAACAAGACTGAAAAATGTTGTGAGCATGATTTGCAACAGAGCAGTAAGAAGTTTTGCTGAGAATCAAGCTAACTTCTGCTATCTTCATACAACTTCCAAATTAAATGACTGTTAGCAAATGCTTTTTTTTCCAAATGTCAGAAATCATAGATTACAGGAGCATTTCAGGGTCAAATGCTGGTGCACTTCCCTACAAAGGATGCTCCAGCAGCAGCAGCATGGTTTCAGTGTAGCTGGGCTTGTTTGGGAGGAGGGTTTGGCAAGTTCAGCAAACAGCATCTACATGAACTGAAGCCATGGAGTTCTGCTCTGCAGGGCCACCCGGAGCCCTAGAGTAAGGTGGAAAAGAGAAAGGGATCAAATGCAGAAGCACAAGCTACTGCCTTTCAACACGCAGGGTGCAAGTACACCGACAACTTGTATTACTACAATCTTCAGATTGCTGAAGCTGCTACAGAACTGCTCTGCTGTTGATCTGACACAGGAGTAGAGTTTAATTTTATTCTTGTAGAAGTCAGACACTGAATCTGCTTGGATCTTGTCCATAAAACACTCAGTGAGAAAAATGATAACGGCACAATGCTGACTGTCCACCGTGGACAGGCTAATAAATTGTGTATCAGTAGTAGATTAAGAAACTTCCGCTTACTTTTCTTCTAATTTGTTATTTTCTAGGAAGTAGAAAAGGATGTTGTTAAGCTACTACCTTCATTTTCACTGCAATAATCTCAATTCCATTATTTAAATAATTAAGCAATTTATTTGAATAAAATTAAATATACTAAAACAGTACTTAAGTTATGGATTTCAGTAAGGACTTAAAAAAAATCTCCCAGACCAGTCATATTAAAGCTTACATTTCAGTTCCTTAATTAGAATTCTCTTCTCTGATTAACCTTCCTGTTTTCTCTACACACGTTTTTAAATGTCAGAACTAACAAGCAATATTATTATCCTTAGAAACCCAGAGTCAATATATGTGATGAAGTGGAAGAATGTCTAGGAACTATTATGAATTCTAATCAATGTTATGAAATCGCTAAATCATAAATGTCTCCATTTATGACATTTCCACAGGCTGCCATCAGGCTGTCTCACTTGACTCTCAGATCAGGTATAGAGGAGGAGAGGGAAACCCTTGCAGAATTACTCCACCGAGCATCTAGAGTTATGTCACTCAACACCCACTCCTCTCCTTCCCCCTCCAAATCCCCAAAATACTCAGGGCTAATCTGAGGCCAGGAACTACACAAAGTATTCTTTTGGTCTTCTCCAGGGCCAAAGGAGACATTCACTTTATTTTAGATATATGAATCTTCTCTACACTTTTTTAGAAAAACAGAAAGCTAAGCACATTCCACATATGTAAAACTATTAACTGAACACATGGGCAAGCTGTAGGAATTATCAAAAAGAAAAGTTTGCTGAAAACAACCTTAGAAATTTCAAGTTTGAAACAGTTTGTTTCTTCCTACCTCTTCTCGAGTGAACTGGCAGTAGTTTATTTTCTCTCTAGGTTGTGCCTTGCTTTTTAACTGTCCCTCTCATTACCAATTGCTTATTCTCAACAGGTGCTGCAGACACATGCCGAGTCACTGTAACACAACCCAGATATCAGGAAGCTGACTACTCCACACACACTGTGCTCCTAACGTGTGCTTTTTCTGCCTCTGGATGCTCCTCGTCCCCACCTCAAGTTCTGTGGTTTCGCTTTTTAACTAATGAACATGAGGATTTGTGTACTCCTGGATGTACAGATGATCAGAAGTACAAAGTACATTCATCATCAGGAAATAACATTTCACTTCAGATCAATGATCTGACTGTAGGTGACAACGCTCTTTATATCTGTGGCATAGCATTTTCAGATTCAAGTTCACCTCATTCCAAACAAACAGGAGATGGAACAATATTAACGAGAACAGGTCAGTTGATTATTCTTTCTTAATGAAGCATCTTAAAACGAGTAAACTGTCTTTCCTAAATATTCATTATTTACACTTTCAAGAATGGTATTTAAGATGGAAATACCAATACAACTGTTAGGAGGAGTATGACTATATTCAAATATAATAGTAAAACTATGGAGGGATTTACAAATGAGCATCTTAACCTCATTTGCTAATTAGACTGTTCTGTCATAGGATGCAAGTGACTCTAGAATTCTACAAAAAAAAAAGTTTTTTATTCTATTACCTAACCATACTCTACATCCTCTTACATAGAGACTTTAATGGCTATCAGAAAGGAAGTAGCAACAGAAAAATGAGAAGTAGAGAAACTGACATTTAGTGGAAATATGTGCAACAGAGTCCAGAGTCTCAGAACCGAGGATTCACTGTGCCAAACTGAACAAAGAGTTTCAGTTCTGAACCTCTGTATCACTTGCCTTCTAGTTAAGAAAGTGATGAGACTTCATTAATTACATTTCAGTATTATATGCCTAAAATAGAAAAAAAAAAAAAACTTAGCTGGATTATTTTTTCCTTATATTCCTTCCTTCCTTTACTTAATTGCATTGTTGAACAAAAGCCTGTAAGCTTCATTTAGATATTCCTCTATGAGAGCAGAAAACTGGATTCTATTCTCTGTCTACCCCTCAAGGAAGGGTTCATAATCAAAAATAACAAGTCCCCATTGCCCTTGCAAACGTTCAGAGAAACAAAAGAAACATGATCTCACTAAGGAATTTAGGCTGAAAATGAACCAGAAAATACTGATGGGCATAAGCGTTTTTAATTCCTCAGAGGAAGGGGGGTGAAATGCAGAATCTTAAAAACCTACATGAATCAGAGGAACTGTCCTTTATTCTAACATTCACTTTTAATAAAGGAGCCGAGAAGCAGCACAGCAATGGAAAGCTCGTCTTCATGATCATTGCCTCATCCTTACTGTTTCTATACAGCACTACTGTAGTCGCGTTCTTTGTAGTCTACAAGGTAGGCTCAATGTGATTTTTCTGATTTTGTTCATTTTGTAAATCTAAGCAGTTTTAACATCTCCATAAGGAGAATAAAAACACATTCCTAGATGGCATAACTTTTATGATTGAGTTTTAAAGAGGTGGTTGGTTGAAGTTCATATGCTGCATATATCTGCAAACTCGTGTGGCACATACCTGTACTCTGAATAGCAACCTCTCTTTATTTTTTTTTTTTTCAGTAAAGTGTCTAAAAGAAAAGGTATTCTAAAGTTAAAATTATCCTGAGAGTATTAATCAGCAAGTTGCAGATTATCTATCAAGGCACATTCAAAAAACAAAACTAGAAATTACCCTTGTTAAGACATTAATTCTCTGGATTAGTTTGCAGTAAAAGTAAAATAATTTAAATTTAGTAAGTATTTGCGAGCTGCAGTAAAGCTACCGCAGATTGACTTTATTTGTGTAATGAAATTCTAGTCATACATCATACACATACAGAAGAAGGACCCTGCTAAAATTTAAAAATATCAGAGATTTGGAAGAAGTTTTATGCTTGTAGGAAACAAACACATTAGAATGCACCTGGTTAAAAATTACATAAATACTAGATTTTTTTTTTTTAATCTAGAACAAAATTTGTGTTTACTTAAAAACAAACACCCGAAGCTGCAACTGGAATCTTTGCATAATAATGAGACTTTTCCATGAGAATAAGGACTTCACAGTCCTAAGCGGTATGATATGGTAAAATGGTTCTTTGCTGTAGTGATCACTGTCTAAGCATAAAGACAGGACAGTCTTTTTGATTTCTGCTTTTCTTTAAACTAGGTGAAGTAGTACAGTGGGATAAATTCATCACGCCTTCTTCAGGGGAAAAACTGATATCCATGATGCCACTGGTTTATTTTTGAGAATTGGGTAGTGCTTCAGGCAGGTCACATTGTACTCAAAGCAAAAACACTTGCACCATCTACTATTAGAGGCTGAAAAAGGCCTTACGCACATCAAAACTCCGATTTTTCCAACAGTATAAGCTGATCTAATGAAAGTCTTATCTGCAAACTGTTTGATACTTTTAACTATTCTGCTACTTCAGCAGCTGGCTTCTCATATCATGTTTTAATCTTTTTTTTTTATTTTACCATCCCTCCCTCCAGTTAAAACCAAAGCTGCTAAAGAAAAGTGGGAATGAAGACCAAAGAACAGAGAATTGTGTATGTTATCACTTTGTTTACTTTGTCTGTGATTCAGAGCTTTTTTTTCCCGTCTTTTTTAAGTATCAATTTTGTGATTAATCGATGATTCAGTTAAATAGACATTCAGAGCTCTTAAGGTTTCACTTCAGAGTTGTCAAAACTAGTCAATGATTTTACATTTAACTAATTAGTTAATTGGCTTATTTTTAATGAATTGGATAGAGGATAAAGTCAATCTATGTAAAGGACATCTCTAATACACAGCTCTCCAGGTTTTAAGTAAATTTTGTTCAAACTTCTGAAAATAACATCTTTTGCTATTAATTTTTTGATTGTTTAAATAGTGTATTCGGGTAAGCCCTACTGTATTTAAAACAAGTCTTTTAAGAACTTCTATCATCATGTAACCTTGTATAAAATCAGATGCCATACATTTAGATATCCATTAAAGAATGTATATATGTTAAAAGATGTAATATTAATGTAATTTTAAACTCTTCTGCCTGCCAAACTGTATGTTCTTAAGGTGTTATTTAGTAACATTCCCAAAGACATATACAGGGAAAAAAATCAGAACTATAAATGGTAGAAAAGATGTTGCAGAGGGCTGGAGCACCTCTCCTGTGCAGACAGGCTGAGAGAGTTGGGGCTGTTCAGCTGGAGAAGAGAAGGCTCCGGGGTGATCTTATAGCAGCCTACCAGTACCTAAAGGGGCTACAAGAAAACTGGAGAGGGACTTTTCACAAGAGCTTGTAGTGATAGGACAAAGGGTAATGGCTTTAAACTGAAAGAGGGGAGATTTAGATTGGATATAAGGAAGAAATTCTTCGCTCTGCATGTGGTGAGGCACTGGAACAGGTTGCCCAGAGAAGTTGTGGCTGCCCCATCTCTGGAAGTGTTCAAGGCCAGGCTGGATAAGGCTTTGAGCAACCTGGTGTAGTGGAGGGTGTCCCTGCAGGGGGGTTGGAACTAGATGACCTTTAAGGTCTCTTCCAACCCAAACCATTCTATGATTCCCCAACTTAAACTGTAGCAATGATCTAAAATATTTTAAATAATTTGCAGAAAATCAATAGTGGACGAAAAATTTTTCAAGCAATTGCCCAAGAACTTCAAAAGCAGAGATACGCTGAACATTGCCGGCAGCCTGTAAGTATCTATTTATCAAACTGAAATTTCTGGGGAAAAAGAGGAACTGACGGTTTTTAAGAGTGTACCATTTCTATTTCCTCTGAAAAGACTTTTCTTTAAAAAAGTTGATAAAGGTCAAAAAAAAGTATTCTGAACAACAGTTAAAATCATTATAAACCATTCTAAATGACCATACATATGCAATTACATATATATAAGAGTATATACCTTATATAATGTATGTATGTACATTTAGAAATGAAGCTTCCATAGATTTGTATTTTGCCTAGAAGAGATCTCAATAAGTGGTTCTGGACTGTTTGGTAAAACGCATAAAGATATTAAGAGTTCATTCTTGAAAAATATTTCTATTGTAGCTCCTCTTGCTCCCTTAGCTCAGGGTGGCCAGGTGACAGAAACATAACAAAACCGTTATTAAAAGCTCTACGACATTCTTACAGATATTTCCACCTCCTTCAATTTACAGAGCCTAAACTAAGTATTCAACATCACTGGGTAAAGCCACACACTTAATTCATCATTCCAAGTTTATGCCAATAATTTAGTCAATTATATGATCATATGACAATAATTTTGCATATGCCACGTAAGTTACAAAATACAACTTTAGAAGTCACGTGTATTTGCAAGCAAAGAAAATGGCTTCAAAATCCTGCTTCAAAAATATTGCTCCTCTTGAGAAACAGTGGAAATTATTTCCTATTCTGAGCATGGACCACACCACTTCAGAGATGTAAGGAGAAACCAAAAGAACCATAGAACACAAAGTCAAACACTTCTCCTCTATACATTTTAACTTCATTTATTTCCATACAGCTCCAATTGTTTTCCTCTGTAATCATCCCTTTAAAGACTTAAAGTCCCCGCTGACACGACATGATCCTTGGTTTGAGTGTTAGATAACAACATGGTGAAAATAAGGGATGCGTTTTACTGCCTTTGTGCTCCTTGGAGATTAGGAAAAGCCAAGCGGAAAAGAAGTATGTTTTGAACCCTGTAGATGCCATATGGACAAAAGCAAAAAGCTAAGTGGGGAGAAAGGAGTTTACTGAAACAGTAAGGGGATGGAGTTTGCCTCAAAATGGAAATTCTGGCTTTATTTTTAAAAAAAGTTCACATCAGTAATGAAATACTTCTGCATTTTTCCCCTAGGATGATTTGGAAGGTGACACTGTTTATCAGAACAGATGAGCATGTGCAGCAGTTCAGATTTATTCAATATTTCTCATGCAAGCAAAGAGGCAGATAAAGAAGTCAAGCTTCTTCACAGAACTCCTTTGCTTTAAAAGGAGAGGAGAAAACCTTGCAGGGCAGTGTTCTTCAAGAGTATTTTCTAAACAGATCACCAAAACCAAGTGCATCGTACATTACATCTATGTTATATATTACTTCCATTTTCCATTTTGCAAGAACCATACGAAAAGACTTCATTTTTCATAAGACAACTGCTAATGCTTCATAAAAGTTTCCTGTTTAATTCAATGTGGTTTTTTGGTTTTCTTTTTACATAAAATTATTTGTATTCCTTTTACATGAATTGAGCATTTGGGAAAAATGTATGATAATTGACAGCAACAGCAAATAAACTTATTTCATAGGAGAAATTCTGTTTTGAGTCATGTTCATGTGACAGTTATTGATGTAGCAGATATATAGATCAACAGTTACTGAGACTTAACAACAGCTTAAACAGAGCAAAACCTACATATGCGATAGACAGGCAAGCACTAAAAACAGACAATATAAATGCAAGTACTATCATGGTAAAGCTCACTTAGGATGGAAGCTTCTTCCTAGCTTTCCTAGCTAGGAAAAGAAAGCGGTCATAGTGAGAAGGTTGCTCCTGCAATATTAAAATTAACTTGCTAGACAGACAACCCTCATGTTCCAGTCCTGCCATCCAAAGTCAGGACTACCTGGAGCACCAAGTTTTGCCTTTACATGACAGTTCAACATGGATACAAGCACGAACACAGAAGTATACAGCCTAGTCAAGGTAGTTTACTTTTTTTTTTTGTAGCAGTTACTACCTAGCCAATCTACAAAATCAGCACTTTTACAGTAAGAGATCTGTTAGTATTCACCTTCTCCCTACTAAAGAACAGCTGAATTTCTTGCCATCATTTAAATAAAGCAAGGCTCTGTTTAACAAATGAAATGGCATTTCTCACTTCAGTGAGATGAGAACTGACAACTGAGACAAAGGGTCTATCTAGCACAGTACTGTGTTTCCAGCTCAATTTACCACCAAGTATTTCAGAAAGATGGAAAACACACCTTTGTCTTCTTATAACTGTCAATCAATCACAAGGACATTAATGTGTTCAACAAGAAAATTTCAGAGTCCCAGGCCGCTAGTGTTTACTACTGCTGAAGTATGGTGTTTCTGACATTTTTATTTTAGAGAAACTTAAACCAGTCTAGTTAAATACTATCTAATAATGCATTTGTGTAAATATTATTTTTATTTTAGGAAATGCAAAGGATTTTTATATGACTCTATGGGATACCTATTTAAAAAAATAAAGTTATAATAATACAGGTTCTTATGTGACTAGTCTAATACCTTATGATTCATCCAGCTTACTTGCCAAATTTAGACATGCGCAATAAGTGCATTACTTGTTGTTCTGTATGTTGAAAATAAAACTCTCAAAAGCCCCAGAATTCATGATTAAGTGACTTTGGGCTCTAGGTGTCACTGTAATTCCAGAAACGGTAAGCACAGAAATATATTTTACCTCCTCCTCCACTTTGCTTTGTTCTGTTAAAGCAAGTTTTAAGTTATTCACATAGACAGTTTTCACAATTACCCTCCCATTACATTACGTGTAATAACACAAACATCTCATTTTGATTAAAATAATTTCTCTATTTCTAGAAACTGACCAAACACCTTACCTGCCTCATCTCTTCTCCATTTGTTCTCCTCTCTAAAACGTAAAAGTTTGTCTAGGCAGATCCAAACTGGTTTTAATTACCTGACACAAGAAATTACTTGAGCCATGTAATGTTCTTCTCTTTGAGTGTTCCAAGTACTTTTTTTTTTTTGTTAAATATAAAGCATATATACACATCTAACACTTTTTAAAACACGTCATCTTATAGAACAGCTGAAAGAAAATACTGAAATTCTAAAATCATTTGTACATCATGAAGACAGTTCATTGTCTATCTCTTTAGACTACAGTTAAACAGAACTTAGGCAGGAAAGCTTCAGTGGAATAACAGCAACTTTTGTGTGTGCTAACATACATTGTCTAAAGAAGTTTATACGGGCCCATATCCAAAACAGTGGTAAACAGACAAAGTGAGTATGTCTTTAAGTTTTAGAACATATTGAGGAAACAAAACTGCCTTAAGCAAACTGACTAATCTGCTACAAGTCACTACCAGAAACAAAAGTATGACTTTGGTTCACAAGACATCTTGAAACAGATTTCAGATTTCAACAAGTAGGAATGACCAAGTCCAACAATCACAGAACAGGTTTCCAGTCCCTTGGGATTTATAAATTTAACACTCTGTTCTCCTCCTAGTATACTCTAGATTAATGATGAAGGAGATAAGTGGACTTAGAGTAGTTTCATCCTTAATTTATCTGCTTCTTGTTGAGCCAGGAAGTTGCATGTGGTCTGTCATGTGGTTACCCAACAACATGCAGAAAAGTAGACACTGGACACAATGGCAATTGCAAAACATAAATGGCACATAGTTTTGAAGGCACACAAACAGAAAAACCACCCAAACAATTTCTCAATTTCTGCTTCTAATATGTCAATGAAAGACTACAAAGACACTGCTGTTATTCGGAATTTTGAAGAACTTTTAAAAGAGAAAGCCATATTGCTCCACATCATAGGAACAATTGTAACCAAATATGCTTGAAATATAGCACAGATGTGTAAGTCAACCCCCATCTAATTTAAGACACACTACTCTTCACAATAGTTACAAAACTATATGCTCAAATACTGTATTTTAAGCAATTCTTAAGTACAAAAACCAAACCCATCAGATTAAAACTTCCCCCCACCCCTCCTCTAGCAAAAATACTACTAACATATAAAGAGAGGAAAACAGATTCAGTTTGATGCATTTGTGATTGCCGGAATATTAAGGTTATGAGTCCTGTATTGTCTGGGCACACATGCCTTTCCACAGACAAGCCTTAATACTCAAGGATAGCCAGTGTCCAAATGACGACTGATGAACATCAGCCTTTTGGAATTCAAATCATCTTTATAGGTTCCTCAATCTGAACCCACAATCACAGGCATGTAAATGTTTCTAGTGTCTTTTGAAGTTTAGTCATAAAGACAGATTCATTTGAAAATCTCTCATGTAATTCTTTACAACGCAACTAGTGGAAATAATGGAGTTTTGGCACTGAATTTTCCTTTATTCCCATTACTAATACGATATAAATAGTGGTTCATACTTTGTATTAGTAGGGGTCTATATTTTACTTTGAGAGCTCATGCTGGAAAGCAAACGTTACCGCTCTATGAATTTTTAGGTGTAGTTCATCTGGAACACTTGAAAGAGTTTGAGCCGAACTGTTCTGTTCAGCATTACAGACATTTCTGATGATTTTGCTCAATCGGCTGCTAGAGACAACTGGGTTACCTATGTGACAGCAGCAGAGGGCCCTAATCAGAGATCAGTTTTCCCATTGCTCCAACACAGCTCAAATGTGGCAACCTGCAGAACAGGATACGTGACTTGAATATTTGAGCTATTTGTTGGTGCCAACAACATACGTTGGGGAATTACAAAAACAGCTTACATCATGTGGCCTATTTACCTATGATTTCATACTTCTGAACATGCACTGTACAAGTTATTTATAAAAATCAAATACAAACACGCCATCTATTTATTGAACATTTTATTTGGGATACTATAACCTACAAACGTTTTCTTTACCTGCCTAAATAGCTATTAATCTGTGTACTTACCATTTTCCACATACGGGTGAAACGGCAGAACTAATGCTAGAATGACTCTGCCTCTAGTGGGCTCCAGTACACTTCTAATATCTTTTAATACAGTCAGTGGCTGATCACAGCGATCCAGCAAATTCAAACAGCTGATAACATCATACTGAAATCCTGTGTTTTGCCATTCGTTTATACCAAGCACCCTACAAAGAGACAGAAAAAGAGATACAGTCTGTTAAACAAACACCAGCCAAGTTCACGGAGAAGCACTGAAGACAAATTCCCTATGGAAGTGTTGATAGTGCAGGTAAGGTCAGCCACCTCGTTACTGAGAAGAGACAGACACCATCCTTATGGTCTTTTGGAAAAGAAAAATAAAGCAACAATGGGCATGGCTATATATCCAGCCACACGAACCTTTATATTGCCTTATAATCATCAGGCAATAAAGGAGACAAAACCCAAACCCCAGGTACTAAAAAAATGTGTTCTCCTAGAATAAACTGAAGATACTTCTCAAGGAACAACAAAGCAAAAATATGATTAACGGTTTGCTTCGTTTTATCCACTCTGATCTACCAGTGAGGAAAAGAAATCCATAGTTCCTTTATTCTTTGGGTTGCACTTTGGGATATAGTACCTGAAATACTAATTGTTACTCAACAAGTCTGGATCTGCTGCATTCAAGAACCTCCAGTAGCTGTGATGAGTACATGAACAAAGTTCTCAAAGTGCTGAGGTTTTTGTTACTAAATATTATTCAGTCTTAACAGCAGGAGCTAAAAGAATCTTTACATAGTTGTCTATACTGTGGGATTAGATAGACACCCATCATTGAGGTATCCCTATTATTAGGATTCAGCTTGTTTTCTCTGCAGTACCTGTGTCTTCCTCTTGCAATTTTGGACTGTTCATCTGATTTTCATCTTCCTGACTCCCTTGATTAAAGAAATTTACAAAAGTTATGAAGAAAGAGACTTCAAAATGGTTGTTGTCTGTTTTGTCTTAACTGATAACCGGGAACATCCACATAACAAAACCACTGGTAACAGGAAACATCAGATGTGTTTGTTTTCCTGCTTTTGTACATGTCAACTTTTCCATAATGATCAAACAGTAGAGGAATTGACTGAAAACACTGAACATTCATTAAACATTACAAGTAGATTACTTTGCTGTAATGTCTGATACAAAGGATGTAGGAAGTATTCCGTACATTACCTGTATTTCTTCTTCTGAAGCTGCCAT